TTTTCAATTTGGTCGGGCTTCGGGCTTTTTACCAGGGCCGGGCTCGGGCTCGGGCTCGGGCCTAGTATATTTTCATTAGTGACAAGTGAAAGCCCGGCCCGAGCCCGGCCCGACCCGGCCCATGAACAGGTCTATCTATTATATACTAGAGAATGACCACCCTATACTAAGTATAGGGCCGGTATTCTAATCAATTTTTTTGGGCATCCATTATTTATATTGCAATTTTAGGTTGTTTTTTATTTCAATTTTTTGTTATATAAATTTGTTMTTTAATTTAAGATATTAAATCAAATTTTATTTATAAACAACCTATTTTTTGGATCTTATAGAAATGATGCTCTTTTTTTTTATATACCATTTGAAGTGATGCTCTTTTTTTTTTTTTAGAGTGGGTAAACACGTATGTTTGAAAAAGAATGCTTCCGTTTGAGAGCGGAAATAACTACTCTTTTGATACTCTTTATTAAAAAAATATGATGCTACTTTTCTATAGATAAGATCATATTCAATTTGGAATATCAAGGAAGCAAAATTGGGTCTACCTATCACTTGTTTGAAGCCCTTCCCCAAATGATAAAAGTCTTCTTCATGTTTCAATCAATACCCCATACACATAATAGGATGCAAAATGTGGTGTGTCCATATCAAATTAAATCACCTATGGTGAGCTTATAACAAAATAAATCACCTCTAGTGTGCCCATATCGTTTTTGTGTCAAAAGTTAAACCATTTTATGACGTTTTTGCATGGAGTTATAACTAGGGATGGCAATTTCTACCCTACCCGGTGGGTACCTGCCCTTACCCACCCTGACTAAGTGGGTTTTTTTTGGTAGGTTTTGGGGCAGGGATGGGTTTTGGAATTCTACAACCCATACCGGTATGTGAACAGTGTGGTATTAGGCTAAACCCGATACCCTCCCCAAGCCGCATATTGTTGGAAAGCACATAAACTATATGTATTAGACATTGAATTTAATAATAGTTTGAATTTTATGTGAACGATAATTGATAATCCGTGTTGTTTACATGTCTTAAAATCAAATAATTGGAAATTATTGTTTGTTTGTGTTATTTCACTTATTTATTACTAATATATAACAAGAAATAATGAAAAATTAAATGCATATTCTAAATCCAACACACCCCTACCCTTGAATGTGGGGAGGGTCGGGTCGGGCTGGATTTTGTATTTTTCATGTGCGGGAAGGGTTTGGATTCTCAAAATCCAATTCAATATGTACGGGTTTTGGAGCAAGTACGGGTTGGGATGWTTAGGGAGATAGGTAGGATCTAGAATTTACAACATAACATCATAACGAGAAGTAAAGTCAATGTGCAAAATTAAATAGAAATTATTAATTTTAATAATTACTATTTCTTAGGGAGAATGACGGTTCAGCCCAGGGTCAGAATTTTTAGGCCCAAAGTATAGTTGGGGTAGGTGCCAGCTCGGAATTGATGCCAATTCACAGGTGGGTATTAGTGCATAGAGTGGGGATAATTAAAATTTTGAATGTTTATAGATCTACGGTAGAATTCAGAAATCTGCATTGGGCCTATCCGTACTTTTTCGCTATTTCTTATCACAATTAATAATTATTATAAGAAAAATTATGATGGACCATCTATCATACCTTATCAAACATTAAAAGCTTTTTTATTGGAAATCGAGGGTATGCTAGCTAGTGATGGATAGGTCCATAAATATCTTGGCTATTATGGTCAATATGCAAGATATAATTGTACTCTCTCGCTCTAACCTTCGAACTTAGAAGACTACTTTTCATTTTAATCTCAACCAGCCTCTCATAATTTGTTACTTAACCCGTAATTGTATAACAAATATGATAATACTTTTTACAAGTAGAATTCGATAAGAAATTTCCATTAAAGTAATAACTTGGATATATATAATTTTTCTAGATTACAGGTTGTTAGAAAACACAAAGGCTAGTGAAGTTTCTATTCAATTTGAGAGCATCTAACATCGCCACATATTAGTAAACTATGTTTCATGATCACCCGAGACCACATTCATCATTGCGACAGTTAGAGCTTATAGTATTTAGAAAAATAAAAGAAAAACTCAAAAAAATTAAGAAAAAAGAATTATGCTTGAACAACTTAATATGTAGATATGGATTTGGGATTTAATAATGGAACAGAGGAAGATGATACAAAATACAAACATTGACTATGAGAGAGAGATCTTATGGCGAGAGCAGTAATTAAATTTATTAGAATCAATTCAGGCCTAAGAGAGATTTTTATTTTGACTTTTAATTTTGATAATTTAATTTAGAAACAACTAGCCATGTGTAAGAAATGAAAAGAAGAGATTTATATGAGCTTCGTGGTGAAAGCATCCCCCAATATACATACATACTTAGAATTAATTATAATAATTTAAAAAAATATATATAAATAAATCCAATACAAATTTTTAAATGCCACTGCAAATCTATAAACATTTAAAATATCAAAAAACCCCCCACAGATCCATGACTTCTCCCTAGTTAAGTACTCAATTACCCATTCTTGAGTCATCAGGACAGGTGAGAGAGAAGATTCGAGACCGAGTACCAACTACAACTCACCGAGTCACTAAGTACAAAACCATACTTGGCCAATTTCTTGTAATTCGAGAAGTAATCACCGGCACGTAATATGAACGACTACAAACAGCTCTCCACGTATAAAGCTCAAAAGGAAATGTCATGTTCCCAACCAATAACAACCCTACCTAATTACTGTTTTCTTTTCAATCTTATAATGCAATAGAATATTTGACAAGGGGAAAATGTCAGCTCAGGTTGGTGAACTCCAAAAACCTCTCCAAATCTACCAGCTTTTCCCTCCACACGCTTCTTAAACCCATCTATAAATAAAACTGCTTTCAGCTTCCCTTCTCCACCTCAGCAACCAACCTTAAACCCTTGTATCCCCTCAGAGCTTCTCTTTACTCCAAGAAATAAAACGTACAGACCCCAAAACACAGAAGAAACATGRMGGGGCTCAAGGTTTCCTGGCACATAACTGGTGTCCTTGGCCTGGTGTTGGCGACATCAGCGATGCTGGCTCACGGCCAAATCGTCTCACCCTGCACCAACGCCATGATTAGCAGCTTTGCGCCATGCTTCAATTACATAACTGGGAGTAGTGGCAATGGGTCTTCGCCGACTGCCGACTGCTGCCAATCGCTTCGGTCTCTTATGAGTACTAGCATGGATTGTACGTGCCTTGTGGTGACTGGAAATGTGCCATTCCAGATACCATTCAATCGAACTCTGGCAATCTCACTTCCCAGAGCCTGCAAGATGGATGGTTTTCCCGTCCAGTGCAAATGTGACCTTCTCTTTCTATATATCTTATCATTTTACCTCATAACTAAGCCAATGGTTTATACTCTGAAGCTTGCTTGTCTCATCAGTGTGTTCAGATACTAATTATGAATTTGTTTTCTCTCTGCAGCATCAGCATCTGGCTCTCCTCTTGCATCTCCAGGTATATAACAAGCGAGATGCTGATTTATTTGTTATATTGGTGTGGTGAAGACAAAGCTAGGATGGTGTAGCTTTCTTTGTTTCCTAACCACACTCATGATCTTTGACAAATGGCAGGTCCTGCAACAGTCGGGATTGTTCCTCCGGTTGTGATACAAGCTCCTCCTCCTAGCACCAAAGGTAACCTGATGATCATTGTTTGCTTGGTTTAAGCTTAACTAATCATACTG